TTTTTTCCAAAAATACCAAGTAGCAAAAGACAGAAATGTTCTACATATATTTTTTTTTCTTTTTCTTTCCCTAGTTTGAGGATAAAATATGTGAATTGGCCCTTCTCATACTGAGTTTCAGAAGTTAGCATTATCTGAGAAGTTACTATTTTTAGGCCCAGCTGTAATGTTTCTAATTTTGGTGCTAGAAGGGTGCTTCCTTTCCCAGAAGGCTCTGCAGGCTCAATATGTACAGGTCAGTTTCATATAAAGCTACCTACAAGAAGCAATAGGCCCTTTGCAGGCTGTTTCTAACTTGAACATTATGAGCAGGCACTGGGAGTTACAGGCTGTACTTGGGAACCAGCTGCATGTCAGGACAAGCATGGACTGTGGTCCCTGGAGGCTGAGAGAATACAATGCTTAAATTTAATTTCTTTGGGAGATAAGAAGAAAAAACTTATCTTTCTACTGACAAGATTGACACAGTCTTCAGAAGTGAGCTGAACAGTTGCAGAGTAGACATTCACTTTTCAAAGATGATGATCAAGGAAACATCTTTGCGAAGGGACCCGGATTTAAGGGGAGAGTTAGCTTTCCTTGCAAGGGGCTGTGATTTTGTTCTCCCCTCACGGTTTAAGAAGAGGCTGAAGTCATTTCAGCAGACACAGGTTTGAGATGTGAATGTTTCTTTTAAATATATTTATTACTAATAAAACCACCCAGTGAACTAACACAAATAATTTTATAACTGACTTGTATCTTAATATTAGATCAAGGAATTAATCTGTGTCCTCTGTTCAGCTATTTGCAGAAAGCTATTTGTAGAGGAATTCCAACAGGTTTAAAAATAGAGCTTCTGGACCTGGATTACAGTAAACATTTTTATCTTGGAGAGAGGGAATCCTGTTTTGCAGACAATAAATACAACTTAACAGATACAGAAATACTAAAGAAACTCAAATTTTTATAGTAAATGCCTTATTTATATTTTGAATCAGTAGATTTTACTAATATATAGCTTCATGTTTGTTTAATAGAATGAGTCCTGATAATATTTTTAAAAGCAAAAGTATTTTATATTATTATTGTGTATGTATGCATGATGTGGATGTATGAGCATGTGTACCATAGCACATGTATGGAACTCAGAGGACAATTTTATGAAGTCTGTTCTCTCCTTACACCTTTATATGGGCTTTGGGGGTCAAACTTCAGCCACCAGGCTTGCGTGGCAAGTGCATTTACCCACTGGACCATTTTGCCAGCCCTGCAAAGTGTTTTTATGTGTAGATAACTGTGCATGTCTATAATATACTGTATAATGTAGATAATGAAGCATAACAATTTCTTCTAGATACTATAGAGTCTCTGCTTCCTTGCTTACAACCTCAGGACCAACGTTTATCTTCTCATACCAATGGCTTAATATGGAGTACAGTATATGTCAAATACTGTACAAATGCTAGTTATCCAAATTCCAGCAAGGAAACATAATTTCATAGTTCTGGATCAGAATAACTTCAGATTTGGGGAATAAACTATGTGATTTTTTTTCTTTTTTTTATGTCAAAATGGTCAAATATTGGAAATGCTATGGTGACAGAATAGCTAAGTAATTCTGTGTTCATAGTGAAATACTGAAATCAAGAATTGATAATACTTTTCCCAACTTATTTTGTTTTATTGCTGTTCCTATTTTGAACTGAAACAGCTTTATTCAAAGTGAGTAGATATCAAACTTGCCATCAAATCAAGCAAAAAATTGTATTAGAAGGTTTTTACTCTGTAATGTTTATAAAATCAGTCTTACTATAGTACTTTAAAAATTAAATTATGTGTTTCCTATTGAACTCAATTGGAAGTAAATTGATGTCAGTGAAAGTTCAGAATAAGTATGTTCTTTTTATATTATCTTCCTTCTAAATATTACATTTTATTAAATATGTAATTAACCAATGCATTAATAAATACTTGCCTATAAGTCATTTGCTCTGTGTTAAAAGTAAACACACACACACAGAGAAAAGAATAGTATACAATCAGATGTTTTCCCTTTCATATACAATCTTTGACAGCCAGTGTTTGTTCTATGTTATGTATATCTGTGTCAAAGCAAAAACAGAGTTAACACTGAAGTTCTCACTCTAGACCTCTCTCTGTTAGCATGTATCCATCTTCCCCAGTACCAGTGGTCTTAGTTCTAAGGCCATAATTGCTCTAAAATTATTAACCCTAACTACCCTAGATATCATGCTATGGGAAATATTTTGAAGAAACAAAGAATTTTGATGATTGTATGCTTACATTCTCACAAAACTCTTTCTATACAAAATGGTAGAAGAGAAACAACACTAATATAAGAAATCTAGGTAAAGTGCCAGGTATGGTGGCACACGCCTTTAATCCCAGCACTCAGAAGGCAGAGGCAGAGGCAGGTGGATCTCTGTGAGTTCAAGGCCAGCCTGGTCTACATAGTGAGTTCTAGGCCAGCTGGGGCTGCAGGGAGACCCTGTGTCAAAAAGACCAAAATAAGAAAAAAGGAAAAAAAAGAAGAAAGAAAAGTCTAGGTAAAGTCTCTGAAGATTTGTGCCTTTTTTCAGAATTTTAAGAATACTTCTGCTGTTGTTAACTATGTAATAATATTTGCATTATTACCATTAAGCAGAGTGTTTACCCAGACTAGATTATGAATTAGCTAAATCAAGAGAGGTTTATAAACTTTGAGCTGCTTTACAAGTGGAAATGATTGTTTATTATTGAGTCTGAAGGACTGTGCCAGATTCTGCATAATCTCTTGAGAAGCCCCATTGTTTGACTTTGTCACTCCCCCTTTGCCTTTCATGAGGACAGTTCTGTGCTCAGCCCTGTTTACACTCTTTTATCTATGTTGAATTCTATTTCTTTAAAAGTCCTCACAGTCTTCCAGAGAGTGAGAGTTGTAATTTCTGTTATTACTGAAACTTTAAAAGATTTAGTAAGCTGTTACTGTTTTTAGTTAGATTTTTCATGTTTCATTGGCCTCCTTCCCTTTTGTGCCGCTTCTTCCTTGACTATGGCTTTATATGGAATCGCTGCTCAAACGTTAGGGATAGCAGGGTAATTTAAAGAAGAAAGTGTTTGAATAATACTCCATGTTCATAGTAATTTTTTTTCTGGTCTTTTTGAGACAGGGTCTCCCTGTAGCACCAGCTGTTCTGGAACTCACTATGTGGACCAGGCTGGCCTTGAACTCACAGAGATCTGCCTGCCCCTGCCTCCCAAGTGCTGGGATTAAAGGCGTGCACCACCATGCCTGGTCATAGTAATTTTTTTTTAAAAGCTGTCTAGGGATAGAGCTCAGTGGTAACGAACCTAGTATCCACGAGCCCTAACACAACCAAATAACCATGTCTATTTTTCATACTTTATTTAGCATCTGATATGTTCTCATGCTCATGATCCTTGGTAATTTAGAACCTTGCAAATCTTCATGAAGTACTTTTTTTTACTTTTATCCTAGGACTCTCTGGATGGTTCCCAGCACCCACATCCACATTGAGCAGCTCACAACTTCCTATAACTACAGCTCCAGGGAATCTGAGCCTTCTAGCTTTCGTGGGCACCTGCACTCACTTGTACAAAACCATACACATATACGCACATACATACATATAGTTAAAAATAACAAAAGTTTAAATCATTTTAAAGTATAAAGCAAAAACTTCCAACCTGAATGGCGATGTCCCTGTCTTGACCTTTTCTTCAGTCAAGCTTCTTACTGCCTTGCTGCGTCCCTTTTCTCAGTCCCTTCGAATATCTCATAAAGCACACTAGCAGCTACTTCTTTGGAAAATGAAAGAAAGAAACTATAAATTAGCTGATTAACTGTAAAGATTGTTTGGCTATGATGAAATTGATAACCATGGTTCTTGCCTATTAGAACCATGAAAAAATGATGAACTAAATTTGTATCTTGAAGAAAGTGGCTGCCCCGAAGTGGCAAGTGAACTAACCAAAAGTATTCTAAAATGCTTTATTTTATTTTATTTTTGTCTTTTTGAGACAGGATCTCCCTGTAGCCCCAGCTGGCCTGCACCTCACTAGTAGATCAGGTTGGCTTGAACTCACAGAGATCTGCCTGCCTCTGCCTCCCAGGCGCTGGGACCACAGGCATGTACCACCATACCCAGCCTAAAATGCCTTAATTTTTATAATGAAAATTTTTCTGGGCAAAAAGAGCTATAGTAATTCTACTTTGATAAAGCCAAACTAGAGAAGAAATTACAAGTATATATATTTAGGTGTGTGTATGTGTGTGTGTATATATATGTATTTTTTTTGAGACAGAGTCTCATGTAGCCCAGGCTGGCCTCCAACTTACTGTTTAGCAGACGGTGACCTTGAGCTCCTGACCTTCCTCCCTCCAGCTTCCAAGTGCTGAAGCTACAGGTGTGTATCTCACTCCTGGTTTTCTACAGTGCTAGTAATCTAAAACAGCTCTGCTTACCAGGCAAGCACTCTGCCCACTGAGATATCCATATCCCCTAAATGTATATATATTTTAGAGAATTCATCATTTCTTTGAAGGAGAATTTGAAATTCACACAAAAACCAAAAAACAGTTTTCAAAATGCAGGAAAATATACTCCAGAATTTTATAAACATAAATCTATGTAAATAACTACTGATAGGTAATATGTTGGTTTATTTAATATGGAAAGCATTCCCTAGAAACATGCTTACTGCCCTCTAGAGTACTCTGAGCACTTGATTGCTACTGTCTTTAATTTTGCTTTCTTATATTTATACAAAACTTCCTATTACTGTCGAGGAGTCTTAATTAATATATACTGTTTGGAATTTTTGTGTCTTACAATCACATTTTTTCTTCCAGATTCAAAATAAACCAGAAAAGAAACCTGCATCGTCACTTCCACCTCCATCAGCCCTTCCAAGTAGCCCTCAGCCTATTTCTTCTGAGCCTCATGTGAATAACGTGAATATACCCTTGTCCATAAACATTCCACGATTCTACTTTCCTGAAGGACTCCCAGATACCTGCAGTAACCATGAACAGATTCTAAGCAGAATTGAAACTGCTTTCATGGATCTCGAAGATCAAAAAGCAGACATTTATGAAGTGGGGAAAATTGCAAAGGTAATATGAGTACTGAATGAATACTCCCCTTTCTCTGGCAGTCCCAGCATTCTCCCTCTTCACCGTCTTTGCTTTCTGTTTTTAAGCATAGGGTTTTTTAATTTTGAAAGTTATTTGATTCTAACACATCTCTAACAGTGGTCCTACTTCTTAAAACTCTTAAGTTGGGGGAAGAAAAAAACTTAATGGTATTCTAGTCCAGCTTCCCATTTTAATATGGATATCCCTTCTAAGACATCACTGATTCATAAATACTTTTTTTTTTTTTTTTTTGGTCTTTTTGAGACAGGATTTCTCTGTTGCCCTAGCTGGCCTGGAACTCACTATGTAGACTAGTCTGGCCTCAAACTCAGAGATCTGCTTGCCTCTGCCTCCCAGGCTCTGGGATCACCCGACTGTAAATGCATTTTCTTAAATGTTTTCAGTCACTGAAAACTCACTACCTTGCCAGGTATTATATAATCCTGTTAGAATAAATTGTCTCTTTTTTGTTCTTACCCACTGATTGTTATCTGCCTTGAGGCCAGACAAGGAGCCATCGGACCATCCTGTTGCTGTAGTTTTACCCATAAATAATTGAATTTGACACTAGGAAGCAAATCTTTGGTCCTGTAGAATATACCCAGGTGCTTCTAATTTAAGATTTTAGCTCCCTGATGTCAGGAGTACTTTAACTATGTTCTACATCTCTATCTTCTTCCCAGAACAGTAAACATTGGACATCAGGCTATAGCTGATCATGCCATTCTTCAGCTCAGCAGCATTCAGGGATTCTCACCTTCTATGGAAGTAATCTGATTTGTTTGGGTTTTTGTTTTATCACGCACATATGTTTAAGAGTCATATTGTGGGGCTGGAGAGATGGCTCAGTAGTTAAGAGCATTGGCTGTTCTTGCAGAAGACTTGGGTTCAAATCCCAGCACCCGCATGGCAACTAACAACTGTCCCCAGTTCCAGGGAATCTTACGCCCTCTTCTGACCTCTGTGGGCACTGCTTTACACTACAAGGGTGCACTTAGACACATGCAGGCAAAACACTCATACACATAAAATAAAAATAATTTTTGAAAAAGAGTTGTGTCGTACCTCAAAATTTAGCAGTGAGCTAAGGGCCATATGGACATAGATCAAGGGGGAGTACCTGAGACCCCATTTATACTTCTACTTGAAAGTTTCTCCTGCTTTCAGGAATGATTTTTTTTTTTTAATTGTTTTTGAGACAGCGTCTCCCTATGGCCCCAGCTGGCCTGGAAGGAACTCGTATGTAGGCCAGGCTGGCCTTGAACTCACAGAGATCTGCCTGCCTCTGCCTTCCAAGTGCTGGGATTTAAAGGCATGCCCAGCTATTCAGGAATGATTTTTAAAAGTTTGAAAACTGCCAGGTGTGATGACACATGCCTTTAATCCCAGCACTTGGGAGACAGATGCAGGCGGATCTCTGTGAGTTCAAGGCCAGCCTGAGGTCTACATAGCAAGTTCCAGCTGGGGCTACAGGGAGACCCTGCCTCAAAAAAGACCAAAAAATTGGACGTGGTGGTTCATGCCTTTAATCCCAGCACTCGAGAGGCAAAGGCAGGTGGATCCTTGTGAGTTCATGGCCAGCCTGGCCTACATAGTGAGTTCCAGGCCAGCTGGGGCTACAGAGAGACCCTGTCTCACAAAGAGCCCCCCCCCGCAAAAAGTTTGAAAACTTATCATTCTTCAAAATAAAGCCTCAACTTCTCCTCTCGGCATTTCAGGACTCTAGGGTTGGGCCCCAGAGATCCTTCCTAAATCTGCCTAACAACTAACTACTGCATGAGCCTGTTTCTCTTGTTCTTTCATAGGCACACATATGTTAGGACTATCCTAGCTGTCCACTGTGAGATGGATTTCCATTACTACCAAGTTTCCCAACATCTACTTTAAAGACCTTCCTTTCAACCTGTCTGCAAAAGTCCTTACAGTCCAGTCATAGCCCACACTTTTCTCTATATGATCCCACAGAGCATTTATGTTGCTGCTAAATGGTTTACAACTAGTAATTTTAAAGAAACTGAAAAGTTTTTCTTTCCTCACCACCCCCAATCTTAGAACTTACTTGATGATCCTTAGATGTTTCTAACAAAAAATTTATTCCAAGCTGGTATGCAGCCCAGTGATAAAGCATTTGCCTATTGTGCATCAAGGAAGGTTCACTTCCTAGCACCACAGAAACAAACTCCAGAAGTAAGAACTTAACCTTTGGGGCTTGAGAGATGGCTCAGCAGTTTAGAACACTGACTATTCTTGCAGAAGACCTGGGTTCAAATCCCAGCACCCACATGGCAGCTAACAACTGTCCATAACTCCCAGGGGATCCAACCACCACTTCTGTCCTCTGCAGGCATTGCACGACACGGGTGCATTTACATACATGCAGGCAGTACATGCATACACATAAAAATAGTAAATAAAATTTTAAAAAAGGAACTTAACCTGTTTCCACTGTTTTACTTATGAAGAAATTAGTCCCCCAAGTATTTACCTGAAGTTATAGAATGAGTTCATGTCAGGAAATAAATCCTCTAACTTCTAGCATGGTGCTGTTTCTATGACATTATCTGTATGAACATGCATCCAAATTAGCCATTTCTGATAGACACCCTAACAAATTAAAAGTTCTTTTTCCAAGGTATCAAGGTTTCTTACCCAATTCTGTGAGAGGTGGCTACTTTAGTAGATGACAGGATCAAGAGTGTAAATGTCTGAATGGACTTAAACCTATAGATCTAAATACAAAATATAAAACTTAACAAGGATGAGAGAAATCTGCATTTTGAGATGCTGTTAACCCAAAACTCTGGAGGGGAAATATCTGTAATTGAAAAGGGTTGATTGAGCCATTACACATGCTGGCCAGGAAAAAGAGAGGACCACCAGGTGTTCAGACAAGTTAGAGTAACTACCACCATGTAGGCCAGATAACAATTAGAAAATGTCTATCAGATTAAAGCCAAGAATCTTTTTTTAAAAAAAAATAATAAATAAACTTTAGAAAAGGAAAGCACTGTGACCTACCCTGGCTGTTGATAATAAAGACAGGACAATGCAAAGGAGGGATAGCTTTGGGATAGGAGGGCAGTTCATAAGAGGTAATTGTTTCATCTGGATTAGGTAGCTTAACGATCAAGAAAGTTTATAAAATACAGGGCTTATTTGTATCCCCAGTCTTTGTGATTAAATTTAGAACATCTAAAAATTATTTTATCAGATGTTCACTGCATAAATCCCAAATGAGTATTTCTGGTCTTTTTCTTTCTTTCTTTTTGGTTTTTTTGAGACAGGGTCTCCCTCTAGACCCAGCTGGCATGGAATTCACTATGTAGACCAGGATGGCCTCGAACTCACAGAGATTCATCTGCCTCTGCCTCCCAAGTGCTGAGATTAAAGGCATTCACCACCATGCCTGGCATGAGTGTTTCTTAAATGAGAAAAATCTGTTAGAGATAGGTTTTGTGGAATGCTTCAGAATGGCAGATAAGGCACAGTAGTTCCCTGGTATGGAGCTGGCAGTCCTGTCTGGAAAGCTGCATTAGTTACTTTTCTGTTGTTGTGATAAGATACCGTGACAAAGCCAGTGGTAGTGCACGCCTTTAATTGCAGCACTGGGGAGGCAGAGGTAGGTGGATCTCTGAGATGGAGGCCAGCCTGGTCTACACAGTGAGTTCCATGCCAGTTGGGGCAACAAGAAAATCCTGTCTTAAGAAGCCAAAACAATAAAAACCCAGCACCATTACCCAGACAATGTTTAGAAGGAAAAGTATATTGAGCTTATGGTCAGAAGGATAAGAGTCCATCATAGCTGGGGAGGCATGGCAGGAGGCAGCTGGAGCAGAAAGCTGAGCAGTCACATCTTCAAGCAGCCACAGGAAACAGAGAGACAAACTGGAAATGGGACAAGGCTTAAGCCTACTTCCAGTGGTGTGCTTTCTCCAATGCTATACCTCCTAAATCTCCCTGAAATAGGGCTACCAATTGGCAGCAAAGTGTTCAAGTACTTAGAGCCTATGAAGGACATTCTCATTCAAACCACCACAAGAGCCCATCCAGCTATTGAGTGCCTCATGGTCATAGACCTTCAGCCTATCTTGTCTTGAATAGAGAGCCACTTGAGTAACCCTCTTTTTCTTGATATTTTTAACCCCTGACTGAGGAGCCTGTTCACTGTGTCCCTCATACCCTACTGGTCTTGCCTTTCCACCCTTTAGTATAGTAGTTCTGGCCTGCTCCATAGCTCAGTGGATTGCTAGGCAATTCAATGAGAGAAAAATAGAATGCCTAATGACCCCATGATAGTCAAGGGAGGGTAGAGAAGAATGTAGTGAAGGCAGGGAGGAGTCTCTAGGTACTGGAAGGCAAAGGAAGGACTTTGCCAGTTATGTGCATTGAAGATCAGTCCATATTGGAGCATCAAAGAAATTGCCTGTGTTGAAGCTGACAACATACAAAAGTTTAAAAAGATAAAAATCTGTTTTCTTTTGCTAAACAGAAGTCATTTAGTTAACAATTTATTGTTTATGTTAATAATCATATGGCACAATAGCCATTTTACATATATATGACTAGAGTAATTTGATGATAGCCCTAAATCAAATTTTTAAAAGCCAAACCTTTTTGTTCATTGCTCTTAGACCTTAATTATCAGGTTAGGAAGCAAGATAAACTTCTTATTCCATTAGAAAGTAAAACTACTGGGCTTAGAGAGATTGCTCAGCTGTTAAGAATACTTGCTATTCTTCCAGAGGACCCAGGCACACACGTGGAGGCTAACAATGGTTCATTACTCCAGGTCCAGGAGATCCAACACCTTCTCCTGGCTTTTACAGGCATTGCATGCATGTGGTGCACTTATATACAGGCAAAACACTCAGATATATACAAAAAATTTTTTCAAGGAAGTTAAAACTAGCATTGCATATAAAAATGAGGGTGTATATGTATTATAACTTCAAAAATTATCTTGTGTTAGACATGCCCATAACCACACCATTCAGAAGTTTGGGAGGGACCTAGGCTACATAGCAAAAACTGTCTCAAAAATAAAAGTTATGATTATGTCAGTTTGTTTTGTTTTAAGGGATTTTGTTTATGTGTTTGCTTGTTGAGACGGGCCTTACTATATAGCTCAAGCCGAACTTGAACTCAGATCCTCCTCCCTCAACCTTCATCCTCTTGGAAGTACAGGCATGTACCACCATGCCCAGCTTTGTGTTGTTTTGTTTTTTACTACTACATCAGCTAATTCTATTAAATTTTGCTTCTTTATTCTTTAAAAAAAAAAATTTTATGTGTATGAGTGGTTTGCATGCCTGGATGTAAGTACACTTGTGTTGTGCAACACCCACAGAAGCCAGAAGATCCCCTGGAACTATAGTTAAGGATTATTGTTAGCAACCATATAGGTTCTGGGAACTGAACCTGGGTCCTCTGCAAGAGTAGTAGCCAGTGCTCTTAACCATTTGGGCCATCTCTGCCATCCCTGCTTCTTTATTCTTATAACCACTTATTTTAAAAATTGATTCATGTCTTTCAGCTACCCAGTTTTCTTTTAACCTAGCTTTTATTTGGCTTCTGTAGTCTCTTAGCACTTAACTAAGTTATCCTTATTTTCAGTCATTCTGTACTATATATCTTTTCTACCATGAGGCAGTCAATGTGTCTCCAACACTTACTGCCTATGGTCTTACAAGAGGTTGGTGTCGGAAAGGGAGAAGAGAGGCCACCTTTAAGGAACAGGAGGGAAGATATCGCCAGAGCAATAAAGGGTTGTGTTTATGGATTCTTGCAGTTTATAAAGCTATTTGAAAGGCCAGCTTGAGTTTGTAACCCACTCTTAGTGGTGCTTAAGTGTAGCTATAAAGACAAATCAGTTTTTTAAGTGTGTTAGAAAATCCCGTTTATGAAATCAGCATCTGTTGATACGGTTTACCCCATTCATCTTAGACCTCACACAGCCATGGAGAACTTAATGTCCATGTCTGGTTCAATTCTTAGTGTGCAGTTTATACATTTTTCCCCTACAACTTTAAGTGATGATGGGGCGGGGACGGAAAATGAATCTTAACAAAGTAAAAGTAGTGTAGGCCTGGAAACTCAGCAACAAAAAGAAAAGCATTTGTCAGAGACTGGGCTTCTAGTAGAAAGTTGAAGAAAAAGAATAAAACTCTCTAAGTCTGAACTATGCAAAGCCCTCCAACTCTTCAACTCCTCTCTTTGAAGTGATAATATTACCATCTTGACCCATTGTGCCTTTTGGCCTATAAGAGAGCCTCTTTGTACTATATTTCTTCTGCAAACTAGGACAAAAATAACTGTTCCCTTTTGAATATGAATGTTATGAACACTAAAATATAGCATTGAAATGTTTTAAATATTGGAAGAACATAAATATCAAGTAATCTATGCATATCAGAAAAACCTTGCTTTCAAATCTTTATGCTATTAGGCCATTCTTAGATCAAATTATAGGTATTAGTCAAGTTTTCTTTGCTCAAAAGACTTTAACTCCCATATTCTCACTATTGCGTCTTCTTCTAGGCCTGTTTCCTACATGCATTCTCTGTATTTCCTTGTATATTCCCATTTGTCACCCATTTTCTTCCTTTGTTTAAAAAAATAAGTTTTCATACTGGCTCTTTCTCTGTGTATTATTAAAAGCTTTGTTCTGTTGCCCTCAGATTTATATAATTTGCTTTCTAAGTTCTTACTGATTTCTTGGCCCCCTTTGCTATAATTCCTTGACTTTTAAGTTAATACAGCCAACTGTGAGTTTCTTTAAATGAGTCATGGTATCAGGTCCACAGCCTTTGCCATCATTACTCTTCCCATTTTTCCTTTCCTTTGATATTTACTGTGTGCTAGGTTCTGATACCCTCATGCTGCCTAGCACTTGGGTACTCAGGGTCCCCCACTGTGAGAAAAGGCTGATCTTTTCCCATTTATTTCAGAGCATTTTCTTTGATGTATTTTATCTTTTGGGTTTTGCCTTTGGGTCATAATGGGTTCATGTGTTAATTTCTTGATGACTTTTATCCTTATTACCTGCACTTCAACAGCAGTCTTACAGGGAAAAATTCTTAACCCAGAGGAATAAAAGTTGTTTATTTGTTGGAACTACAGAGATGGCTCAGCAGTTAAAGAGCACTGGCTGTTCTTGCAAAGGACCTGGGTTCAGTTCTCAGGACCCACATGGTAACTAATAACCACACATAATTCCTGTTCCAGGGATCTGGTGTCCTCTTCTGGCATCTGTGGGCATTACATACATGTGGTGCACTTAAATATATAGTGTTAGCCAGGCATGGTGGCACATTCCTTTAATTCCAGCACTCAGGAGGCAGAGGCAGGTGGATCTCTGTGAGTTCAAGGCGAGCCTGGTCTACATAGTGAGTTCCAGGCCAGCCAGGGCTACAGGGAGATCCTGTCTCAAACTAACTAACTAACTAACTAACTAAATAAATAAATAAATAAATAAATAAATAAATAAATACTGTTTAGTAGTAGAAGTTGCCCTACAAATGATGATGATAATGTAGCTTCTGGTATAGTTTCAGCTGAGGTTGGTGACTTTTCTGAGGTTGAGCTAGAAAATTCTTGACCTCTTCCAATTCGAAAACTTCATGAATGACTCTAATGATCAGAATTTTCATCCTTTGGAAAGCCACATCTATTTTAGTTTCCTTTCTGTTGCTATGATAAAGCACTCTGACCAAAAGCAGCTTGGGGAGGAAAGGGTTTATTTGGCTTATACTTCCAGGTTATGTCCATCGAGGGACCTCAGGGAAGGAACTGAAGGCAAGAACCTGGAGGCAGGAACTATGGAGGAATGCTGCTTGCTATCTTGCTTTCTGGCTGATGCTCAACTACCTTCCTTATACAGTCCAGGACCACCTATCTGGGGATGATGCCACCCACAGTGGGTTGGGGTCTCTTATATCAACTAATAATCAAGAAATCCTCCACAGACGTGCCCACAGCCCAATCTGATCTAGGAAATGCCTCAATCAAGGTTTTCTTCTCAAATAACTAAGCTGTGTCAAGTTGACAATTAAGCCTGACTAGGACAACTTCCAAACTCTCTCTGTACTTTGTATTTATGGCTCCCCTACCACCATTAATAAAATCTACTCTTTCATTTTTCCCAGCCAATAGCCTATCAGTAAGGTGACCTGAGAGCATTTCTTTGGAAACCCATTGTCATAAAAGGAGAGATTATGATTGGGAAAGGTGGATTTGGATTTGACAGTTTACCCACCAAAGTATTTTAATTGTGAACTTTGTACCTTAGCAATCATAATTTATGCAGTAGACAGAAATAACATGGTTTCTAAGCAACACCATATTTCATTATTGACCTTAGTGAAAGCATTTAACCTCTGAACTTAAGGAATCTTAAATTCCGGATGTAGGAAGATCTGGCATGCAACATCTATCACCCCGTTTACTTATAGGGTTGAATCATCTGATCAGTCTGACTAGGTGTGTCTCCCTGTCCTCACTCATTGCTCAAAATGCATCTCTTCTGAAGTTGCACACTCAGTCATAAGGGATGACCTCAACAGAGAAGGACCATTCGAGTAGCTCCACTCCCTTATCAGCTCTCAAGAAATCCTAAATTCTACTCTGCTTGTAGAACAAATTTCATTGTCCCCGGAGGCAGTAATCTCTTTATTTCTGCCATGTTCATACCTCCCTTGTCTTGACTCTTGATTTCCATATCTTTGTCTCCAGAAGCCTTGGGGTCTCTCAGGGTAACTAATGTCATACTAGGTGCCCTTACCACGAGGCCAGAGGTGTCAGATACCCTTGGAGCTGGAGTTACAGGGGTTTGTAAGCCTTATACAGATACTGGGAACAAAACTCAGGTCCTCTGTAAGAACAGTATGTGCTCTTAGCGCTGCAACATCTTTCTAGCTCCTTTTCTGTTTTGTTTATAACCCTGGACTTAATAACATAATAGGCAAAAGAGAAATAAGAAGGGTAGATAGTAAAGTGTTTTAACACCAAGTGACCCAGTAATAACGATGACTACATTTTCTGTTCAAGAAACAAAGGATGTAATATACAGCCATAATATTTAGTCATTTCTTTCTAGAAGGTAGAAACATATGAGTGGTGGGAAAAGACACTGTTTAGCTTTTATTAGAAGGGGGAAATTCACTATAAATGAATTTGAAAGAAAGATAAATGGCTTTCCATTTTCTTCACTGAACACATACTCTTTTATTCTAATTCATTCATTCCATTTTCATTCTCTCTCTTGCTGTCTCTCACTCTTCTAGTTGACTCCAACAACCCCTTTAGCCACTACAGCATGAAGGGTAAAAGCCCATGTCTTTCTTTGGTCATGTCATCTCTTTACTGTCTCTTAGCTTACTCTGTGTTGCTTTGTTTGCAGGTCTGTGGCTGTCCATTCTATTGGAAAGCCCCCATGTTCAGAGCTGCAGGGGGAGAAAAGACTGGATTCGTGACAGCACAGTCATTCATTGCCATGTGGAAAAAGTAAGTTTGTGAGCACTGGGGCTAGCAGAAAATTGTGTGGTGCTTATAATTGTAATTTATTTTACCCATTTATTCATTTTCTTTGTATCAATAGGAAAAATCTATGATTCATAACCATTTATACTCGCACATTCTTTGCCTCAAGCCTTGGCGCATGCCTTTAACCCCAGTACTTGGGAGGCAAAGGCAGGAGATAATAAACTAGTTTGAGGCCAGCCTGATCTACATAGCTAGTTGCAAGACAGCAGTGGCTATTGGGAAACCTTGTCAAACAAACAAACAGACAAAAAGTAAAGCAGATCTGTAGCAATACTTTATTAATAGCTATTTGATAGTTTTGTGGTTTTACCAGTAAGATTAGACACAGGGATTTGAATCCAGTAAATAAAGAGTCTTCTTTAAAGTCACAAGCAATATGTGTCACGGGCTGGGGATATGGTTCAGTGGGTAAGAGCATGAGTATTCATGCTCTTAGTTCAAATCCCCATCACTCACATAAAAAGCCAGGCATGGCTGAATGTGCCTGTAACACTGGCATTATGGGGGTCAAAGATAGACAGATCCCAGGAGCTTGTGGCTAGCATACCCGAAACTTCAAGCTTTAGGTTCAGTGAGAGACCCTTTCTTAAAGGAATAAGGTGGAGAGAGGTAATAGAACTAGGCACCTGATGACCTCCACACATGTACATGCATGTGCATGCACCATTCACATATACACCACACAGACACACATTAAAAATTAAAAAAGAGTACTGTTAGATTCTCTTTTTTTCTTTAAATTTTTATGTTTTTTTTTTTCTCTAAGGGGAGGGCAGGGGAATGACAGGGACATATAGGAGGAGGGGACAAAGCAAAGTCAGGGACAGCCTTTGCTCCAGCTTCAAGGCTGGGCAAGCCATGTTTATCTATTAGTAGAACAAGAATTGGACTCCTCCCTGCCCTCCTTCTGCAGTGTTGTGCCAGCCCTGTTAAAAATTATTTTTATTATTTTGTAAAACTATACGTGTATGGGTGCAGATGCTTGCGGAGCTCAGCAGTTTGGATCCCCCAGAAGTTGGGAGCTGCCCAACTAGAGTAACCAAAATAGAGTCCTCTGCCAGAGCAGAATCCTCTGCCAGAGCAGAAGGCACTCTTAATGATGGGCCATCTTTCCAGCCCTACATTCTTAAATGATCCAACAGAGAATTGTATTTGTATCCTTTGGGGGGGGGGTCTTTTTGAGACAGTGTCTCCCTGTAGCACCAGCTGGCCTGGAACTCAGTATGTAAAGTAGGCTGGACTCAATCTCACAGAGATCCACCTGCCTCTGCCTCCTGAGAGCTGGATTAAAGGCGTGCACCAGCACTCTGGACTGCAGTTGATTTGTTAAAATCCCTAAATTCCAATCAATTTTTTATCTTTTTAAAAAAAAAGAAAAACTTAATTGGATCTCTGTGAGTTCCAGGACAGCCTGGTCTACATAGTGAGTTCTAGGCCAGCTGGAGCTACAGTGAGACCTTGTCTCAAAAAAGATTAAAAAAAAAAAAACTTGGATTTATTTATCTTAATTTTATGTATATGAGTGTTTTGCCTGCATGTAAGTGTACCTGTGTCATGCAATGCCCCATAGAGGCCAAAAGAGAGTATCAGATCCCTTGGAACTGGAGTTACACATGGTTGTTAGCCATCATGTGGGCGCTGGGTCCTCTGCAAGAGCAGCCAGTGTTCTTAACTGCTGAGCCACCTCTCCAGCCCCCACCCCCACCCCCATTACTTTTGTTATTCATTTGTTTGAGACAGGTTCTCCTTATAACCACAGCTGACTTGGAACTCACTCTGTAGACCAGGCTGGCCTCAATCTCACAAAGATCCACCTGTCTCTGTCACTTGAGTACTAGGATTAAAGGTGTGCTGTACCACACCCAACTTTAATTCTTACTTTTGAGAGCTCCAGTTAAAGAACAAAGGAATAGTTTATTATCAGAATATCCTTGAATTTTAACATCTTGATTGTTCTCAAATTCAAACCGAACCTTTTCTTTCTTTTCTTTTAATTATTTGCTTAGATGCTATTAGATTTTGTTTTATTTATTTTTGTTTTGTTTTGTTTTGAGACAGGATCTCATGTAACAGGTTGATCTCAAACTCTTTAGGTAGCCAAAAATGACCTTAAACTTCTGACCCTGCTTCTACTTCACAAGTTCTGGGATTATGCAGGTGTATGCAGTACTAGGGATTGAACCCAGGACTTTATGCATGCTAGGCAAGCACTCTACCAACAGAGCAACATCCCCTAGATGTTACTACTTTTTTTTTTTTTTTTTTTTGAGATAGGTTTCTCTGTAACCCCAGTTGGCCTGAAACTTGCTATGTAAACCAGTCTGGCCTTGAACTCACAGAGGTCTGCCTGCCTGTGCCTCCTGAGTACTAGGATTAAAGGCATGTACCACCACCCCCAGCTAGATGTTACTTCTTAAATCATTAACATTTACAAGAATATCAAAGCGTGTTCTATCTTTTCTTTTTTTGGTCTTTTTTTTTGAAGCAGGGTCTCCCTGTAGCCGCAGCTGTCCTGGAACTCACTGTGTAGACCAGGCTGGCCTTGAACTCACAGAGATCCGCCTGCCTTTGCCTCCCAAGTGCTGGGACTACAGGCGTGCGCCACCATGCCTGGCATGTGTCCTATCTCTTAACTAATAAGCCCTCTTTACACACACACAACACACACACACACACACACATACACACATACACACACATCCTTCTCATCTTTTCTACATACCCATCTTCCTAGTAAACTTGGAATGCTATTCACTTACTATTTAAAATCAGTATATATTATCAGAAGAATTCAACTTACAAAGTACTACTAAAGGCTATTTGTGTATAATGCTTGAGAACAAAATGTGTAATTCATAAATGCAATCCAAGTTTCAAAAATCTAACAGTAAAATTGTTTCTTCATTATGTTAAAACTGAAGGGGCCACAGTATATAAGACTCTACCAGTTAGAGAGCTGGAGAGATGGCTCAGTGGATAAGAGCACTAACTGCTCTTCCAGAGGACCCAGGTTTGGTTCCCAGCACCCACAGGACTAACAGCTTTCCTTAACTCCAGTTCCAAGGGATCCAACACCCTTTTCTGACCTTCGAGGGCATTCCTCACATATGATGCACTTACATACATACAGGAAAAATACTCATACACATAAAATAAAAATAAATAAATATGTAAAATTTTTAAAAGAACCTACCAGTTAGGTAAATTTTAACGGCATACACCCAAGCCAAAGTCTATAATTGCTTCATGGTCTTAGGTGGAGTTTATCCATTTTATTCCTGGACTGAGTCTGAGTTGTCCAAGTACCAAGGGATTAGAGTCCTAGGAGAATCATTCTTTTTTAATATTTTATTTTATTCTTAATGTGTATGAGTGTATTGCCTGCATGTGTGTAAGTGCACCAGTGTCATGCAGTGCCTGAGGAGGTCAGAAGACGGTGTTGGATCCCCTGGAACTGGAGTTACAGACAGTTGTTAGCTGCCATGTGAGTGCTGGGAATCAAACCCAGATCCTCTGCGAGAGCAGTCAGTGCTCCTAACCACTGAGCCATCTCTCCAGCCCTGAGGATCATTCTTCTGCAGCATCTGGATGACACTCCAAAGTCAACCAGTCTACCTCTCTTATAGCAAAGAGAAAACAGCCTGATAAGATGTAAGAAATGTCCCTTAAAAAAAAGAAATGTATGGATAAGTAAATGTTTTGTAAAAGTAAAGAAACTTCTTGGAAGATGGAAATTTTTTTTTAATTAAGCAATAATCAGCAAGCATAAACTAACAGAGGAATTGGCATTGGCCTTTGCAGTATTTTTCATTGGTATTTCTAGCAGCCCAGAACATGAAAGAAGAAAATGGAACCAAAGGAAGTCAGCTGGGCCTCTCTCCTTTGCCCAACAATAAAATCAGGATTTAAGCTGGGAAGGATGATTTTTTTTTTAATTGGAATGTAACTAGTAGAATTTCAGAACTTAAAAATTTTAGATGATCTGGCTTCTCTGTAATTCACTTCTTTTACCTGGGTAGATACCAGGCTCTAAAAAGTCCTCATCAGGAACCTGAACTAGGGGTAAAAAGAGTAAATGATAGCATAGCTCTTGTTGGAGGCATCTTTAGCCATTGATCTTAGTACTGTTGGCAAAAAAAAAAAAAAAAAAAACCATCTAGCAATCTAAGAAAACAACAGGATGTAAATAATGGTTTAAGAGAAAACTTGAACAAGCTTGGAGTTGAAAATAAATAGGAAGTAGTCTACTATAAGAGACATTAGAGCTAAATACAAGAAATATAACTACTTATATTCTATATTGAATATTTTGGACAGTATGAGATCCTGAGGCTGACTATAGCAAAAGACACCTGGTATACAGTTTATTTACCTGCAGTTATGTGCTTAATATGAGAGTCACAGCCACTGTTTGGTTAAGACTGTCACTGAGATAAGGCAGATATTTAAATTGGTGATAGCGCAGCACAGCAGCAGCCACAGCAGCTAGATTCCTTTATTGAAATGAATCACCATCTCTAGGGAAAAGCAACTTCTGCACAAAGTAAATGGACTTTTTGTCATGGTGCACAGGTCTGCAGGAAACTGCTTACAAAGTTATATAGCACAAACACCTGTCCCAATCTCTCTTCTACATTAAGAGAATTCTAGGGAGTATGTGTGTGTATCTGCATTAAAGCATTATTGTCAGTTTCTAAAATGGTTTGGGTGCCCTCTAGTGGGAGTTCCTCTTTGAGCTCTTAAAATGCCATTTGCTTTGAGGCCCAAGTATGATGGTTTGAGATACCACACTGACCTAGGAAAAGACATTTGTTTGTATTTTTAAAGTTTTTGTAAATTGTACCCTTCACATAAGGATCTCCGTTGATTGGAGTTATGGATGGTTATTATTTGCCATGTGGGTGCTGGGAATCAAACCTAGGCCCTCTGGAAGAACAGACTGTGCTCTTAACTGCTGAGCCATCTCTCCAGCCCTGAGATACTCTTTTTTTGTTTGTTTGTTTTTGTTTTTGTTTTTGAGACAGGGTCTCCCCGTAGCCCCAGCTGTCCTGGATCTCACTATGTAGACCAGGCTGGCCTTGAACTCACAGAGATCTGCCTGACTCTGCCTCCTGAGTAATGGGATTAAAGGCGTGCACCACTACTTCCGTGAGATACTATTTCTTTAAAAAGCACAAAAAATGTTTAAACACAAAATATAACTGGCAGGTAATAATATAAAATTAAAACTTTTTGGTATACACATATGCATCCTGACTTTTCCAATAATAAGCTTTATATATAATCTTAAACAATAAAGTCAAATACAAAAGTCATAAGCCTAAGAGGAAATAATTTCCCTCCTGTTATACGTTTATGGGTTGGATATTTCAGTGTCTTCCTACTGGTGACTTTAGAATGAGCACCAAGCTCTTCTCCCCAGCTTCTCTGTCCCGCTCCTACCCCTCTGTTGTTACCCATTTCCTGGCTACACTTTGATAACTCTTTCCCTTAGAGCCAGGACATTTTTTAGGGGGAAGATGTTGCTCCACAACCTACCCCTTTGAGATAGGGTCTCCCTATGTAGCTCTGGGTGGCCTGGAACTCACTATATAGACCAGGTTGGCCTTCAGCTCAGATTTTTTCCTCAATGCTGGGACCAAAGGTATGCACCACCACACCTAGTACCATGCCCTTTTTTTAAGGTCCTAGAGCACCAGGTTTTAGGCAGAATGCCTCTCAAGTCAAATCAATACAGTTCTAGCTTTATTCTGTTTTACTTTAGCTATCAATGTGTCATTTGTTCACTAATAAAACCTTATTTTTCAATAAAAGCATTATGATCAGTATAGATTAGCTATACTTACCTTTATTCTTCAGTTTTTAAAAAATCTTCTCTTGCCATATAGAGTTTATCAGCCTAGAGCATTGACCAAAAAAAAAAAAAAACTATAATTCACCTTATACTTCTTTCTGGTAACAGCAATCCGTGATTTAACTTTTTATTTTTAGATTATCTCTCATCTGTCATATTGTTTCTGTTTGTTTAATGGTTTTTTAAAATATATATAAAAATGTTTCTTTTCAAAAACCTCATTACTTTCTTTTACTATCATTATATCAATTTTCTAATCTTGGGGAAAGTGGTTTTCATTAGCACCCACTGCACTGATCTTTTTCTGTACTACATGTACTACTGGGGCCCTAAACACGTTTACAGTAATGACAAGAACAGTAAGTATAAGTGTAAAAGTCCTACTATAGCTCTAAAAACACAAATAGTCAAGTATGTATTTGTTAGATTACTAACATATTTTAAGAGTCTTCTCTGTATAAGTCACTGAACCACCTGCCCTTTCATTTTCAAAGAAATAAAAGAAAGACAACAATGTAATATCTTTCTTTTATCTCTTTGACTAAATATATAGTGTAGAGATCAGTATGAAATTCAGTTGTCAGGGAAAACCTTTGGAGAGAGGTAGGTTATTAGCTAAATCTTAAAGAATAAACAACATTAAGACAAAGTGAGGGCAGGGTTTTCAAGAACAATAGAACATGAGCATGACATAGAGGCCAAACTTCATATGACTTAGGCCAGCAGTCTGGGGTAGAAGTTTGACTTAACAAAGTAGTGACATAGGTAGGTAGGCAGGCTCCAGCGTAAAGACAAAGGGCTTTCAATGCCTAGTGTAGGCATTTAGACTTATACATTAGGACCTTCTAGCAGTCTCATGATTATAAGGGCCAGAACTTGAGAATACAGTGGATACAGGAAAAAACAGTTGTCAAGAACGTTTTAAGGACAAACTCTTCAGGGCTCCAGTATTCCCATCTGTGTTGCAAACACAGCTAGAACCTTGGCAGTGACCATGAACCTCAGCTTTCCTCTCACTCCCTGCACCTGTTAAGTACTACTGCCTTTCATTTCTACCAAATATGCTCCTTTCTGTCTGCCTCCCACTGCCAGCATCTATGCCCAGACTACAGTTGTCTCTTGCATAATACTTCTGAAAACCACATCTGATCATGTCACTGTCCAAGTTATAATTCTTCCGTGTAGTAAGTTAAAGTTCAGGGCTTCTTGAGCTGACATAAAAGAGGCTTCCTTTGATTCTATTTGCACATGCTCCCCTCTCTGTGCTTATTGTTGCCCAGTGTTCCATGAATCTCACACCAGGCATTTGTGCATACTTCCCTCCTTACCACAGCACCCCTCTTTCCTACTTCACTTTGCAGGGAATCTCACTGGCCTCCTGTGTCCACTCAGGATACTCTGTATTCAGTACTTCTGTGATGGCTATTTGAAGCAGTGTAATTCTACTGGTAACTAAACACTGGACTGTAAATTCCTTTTAGAGCATAAAACTATATCTTATTTTCTTCTACCTAAGTTTATTCAGGGCCAGATGCAATACCTGGAATATGGGTAGCATTCAATAAGTGATTAATGAGGGAAAATAAAATTTGGAGACAATAATTGGATGTAGAGAATAAGAAATGGAAAAAGTGAATGACTTCAAACTTTCAAACCCAGACAACCTAAGAATGGTACCACCATTTTTTATAAAAACTGGTGTCCAGAAAATGGACTGGCTTTGAGAAGGTTTTAAACTTTGGCTTTCAACATTTTGACTTTTCTGTCAGAGTGTAGCCTCCAAATGGAAATATTCAGCAAATAATTAGAAAAATTCTGGGAGCTTAGAAGACTTAATAGGACACTGATTTTCTAAAGCCTATCCCTTCAAAGTTGAATTTTAAAACCTCCTTATGAGGATGTTCCTGATTTTATGAACCTAATAATAAGAATTTTATGTCTACATGGTACATAGTAGTCTCTCTCAGGTATTGCCTCCTTGATGTGGCTAAGCTCCTGGTGTTCTGTACCAAAATGAATGGGCCTTCTCTCCATCTAGTGAGTAACAAATATTTTTTTCTGAAGCAGAGTCTCACAGTGTAACCTTGGCTGGCCTGAAACTCACCAAGATCTGCCTGCCTCTGCCTCCTGAGTGCTGTGGTTAAAGGTATGTACCACCATGCCCAGCCAATAACACATATTTTTAAATATTTATTTTTATTTTATGTGTATGTGTGAATGCCTGCATGCATGTGTACCACATGAGTCCTTGGTTTCCAGGGAGACCAGAAGAGGGTATCACATGCCCCGGAACTGGAGTTACAGGCAGTTGTAAGCCATTATGTGGGTACTGAAAACTAAACTCAGCCATCTCTCCAGCCCCAGTAACACATTTTTTTTTCTTGGTCTTTTTTGAGACATGGTCTCCCTGTAGACCCAGCTGGCCTGGAACTCACTATGTAGACCAGGCTGGCCTTGAACTCACAGAGACCCGCCTGCCTCTGCCTCCCAAGTGCTGGGATTAAAGGCATGTGGCACCACGCCTAGCTAGTAACACATATTTTACCTGTGTTACTTCACTTGACCATGTGGTCTCTGTCTCAGAAGCATTCTCTAAGAAAAATTCACCATCCCATTACTGAGCTTTTATTAAGATATTTCTTTGACAAAATCAAAGCGTGGAAGCCACTGAAAAGAGAGTATTTGGGCAGGAGAGTAACTCAGTGGTAGAGGACTTGCTTAGCATGCACAAAGCTCTTCCTTTAATTCCCAGCACTGAAAGTAAAGACAGTGAATACTTGATTCTTAATCTAAATAGCCTTCAAGTCAGACTAAAATTACTAGCCTGTCAATGTTATATTGTATGTTCTGAATAGCAGAACTTCCTAACCAGTGTTTCTTTTATAGGTTGCTGAAAAACCATCATGACGATGCCTCAAAGTTCATCTGCCTTCTAGCAAAGCCCAGCTGTAGCTCTCTAGAACAGGAGGATTTTATCCCTTTACTTCAGGTAATTTTTTTTACCTTTTTAAAATGGGTTCTGCTTTTGGAGTTTGAGGTTTTGTTTGCTTTCTTGTTTCAAACAAGGGTTCAGTATGTATTCCAGGCAAGCCTCAAACTCTTGCTCCTCCTGTCTCTACCTCCCAAGTGCTGGGATTAAGGCATGTATTACTATGTAGCCTGGTAAGAAGTCTCTTTGATTTTAAAGTGCCACTATAATATATACCAATTGAGCTACACACATCTGAGGTCACATTGCTAAGAAAGGTTTTCAATTTTGTTTTAGTAGTAAGTCTTTTTGTTAAATGAAATCTACAACAGAGCTCCTAGTATAAAATAGGCAGAACAAGGCTTTCCCCGCTGCAGCAAGGGAGAGGAGCATTCAGCCTCCTTTTTGCCCATTTACAGAAACAGTAAAGAATCTTCTGAAACTTCAGAATTTGAAAAGGTAACATAGAAATACATCAATAAGAACCTGGTGGGAAACCAGAAAAGGCTGTGGAATAACCAGAACTGCCATGAACTTTGGAGTCTTCATTCAGGTCATCTTGGCTCTTTGATTTAAGCGATGATCTAAAATGGTTTACTGATTTTTTTCATTGAAGAGTTGAGCATGGTGGCACATATCAATCAGCACATGGCCTGTAATCCTAGCACTTTAAGAGACTGAGCAGGGGGATGTAGCCTAGGCTGTGTAACAACACCTGTCTCAAGAAACAAATGAATGAATGAAATAAGAGAGTGGAACTAGAATAAAATATACTGAGATTTGCAATATAAGACAATGCCACCAGGCTATAAAAGTAGTTAAGAACAGGGGCTGGAGACATGGCTCAGCAGTTAAGAGCACTTGCTGTTCTTTCAAAGAACCCAAGATCGGATCCCAGCATCCACCTCATGAGGTTCACAATCCTCTGTAACTCCAGCTCCAGGGGATTATGACACCCTCTTCTGGCCTCCTACCTACCACAGCAGAGTACCATTCTCACAGATAGTCATGGGTAAGATATGTTTTCCAGTAGTCAAAATAAAACAAGGGCATGTTGCCCTATAGGCCATTGGCTATTCTGTTCCATGCCTTCTGGAAATGGCACACACAACTATGAGAATGACACTCTGCAGTGGTAGGTAATGTGCAAAGAGAATGTTAAGTACAGCTGTCATATGATGTCAGTGATAAGCCTTTCTCCTCCTGGGACCAGTGGGACCTGGAAGGAGACCACCTAGGGAGGTCACATGCCAACAATGCCTGGGCCTCCAGGGATTAGATCTGCTTGTCCCTTAGTTATACCCACTCAGCCAGACAAATAAGGATAGAAGGAAGGCCTCTTAATATCACCTTTTATTTGTTGTTTTATTTCATAAGGAAATCATGGTACTGTGACTCTGACTCTGGGTATTTTCTAACAGCATAGCAAGGAAGACTTTCTTCCCTCTTCTCATCAGAATAGTTTAAGAAAGAAGAAGTAGGGACCACAAAAAGTGAAATTTTCATTTGTATTGTCAAATATGAAAATAAAATGGTTAGTTCTTTTAGTTAAAAATAATGAGTATCATAAAAACCTTATAGAAATAAATTTGAAAACATAGATGAAATGGACAATTTTCTTTTTCTTTTCTTTCTTTTATTTTTTGGTCTTTTCAAGATAGGGTTTCCATGTAGCCCCAGCTGACCTTGAACTTTATATGTAGACCAGCCTGGCCTTAAATTCACAGAGATCTTCCTGCCTCTGTCTCCTGAGTGCTGGAATTAAAGGCCTGTTGAGCTGAAATGGACACCTTTCTAGGAAAATATAGTTCACCTAGATTGACCCTGTTTGATTTATAAAATACAACAGACTAATTTCAACAGAAGTAGTAAAGATATTAATAAACTACCTCTCAAAAAATAACCAGTGCCAGGTAAATTCACTAGAGAATTTGTCCAAACCTTTAAAGATTAGATAGTCCTAATGTTCTATAAATCATTCCAGAATATTAAACTGGCCAGGGAACTCCATAGGTCCTTTTCTGAAGCTAATATCACACTAATAACTTAAATCAAGTAAACAGTATAAAGAAAACTGCAAATAAATGTAATTTCATGATTTGTGATAATATATAACAAAATGGTACCAAACAGACTATACCAGGGCTCAGTGATATTTCTCCTAGAAGATGATATTGGTTCGGTATTAGGACATTATTTAATATATGTCTGTGGAAAAATTATGATTGTCTCTGTAGATGGTGGGAAGATTTTTGACAAAAATTAATGCCATTTCACAAAAAAGAAGAAGAAGAAGAAGAAGAAAAAAAAACTGTTAAAAAGTAGGTATTTGAAGCCAGGCATGGTGGCACATGCCTTTAATCCCAGCACATGGGAAGCAGGAGAAGATGAATCTCTGTGAATTGAGACCTGGTCTCCATAGCAAGTTCCAGAACAGCTGTGGCTACAGGAAGACCCTGCCTCAAAAGAACCAAAAAATAAAAATAAAATAAATAAATTTTAAAAAGTTAGATATTTGAGAAACTTTCTTAACACAATGAAATATATAAATATATATACATATATACACACATACATTTATACACACTTTATTGCTTAGCATCTTATTTAGTGGAAAACATAGGGGCATTTTAGCAAACATGAGGAACAAGAGCAAGGATGCCTACTTTCTCTACTATAACTCCGCACAAGAAATTGAGTTAGAAAAGTAATTGGAAGCATAATAAGCATAAAAGAAGTAAAGTGTCTTTTTACAAGTGACATGACAGTAGGGACTGGAGAGATGGCTCAGCAGTTAAGAGCACTGGCTGTTCTTGCAGAGGATTCAGGTTTGGTTCCCAGCACCCACATGGAAGTTAACAACCGACTGTAACTCCAGTTCCAGGGGATCCAATGCCCTCTTCTGGATGCAGTTAGATAAATGCAGACAATACACTTATACACAAAAAAATAAAAATAATAAAATATTTTTTAAATGACCTGACAGTAAGTTTGGAAAATCCATGAGAGTAGCTGACAAAATTAAAGCAGAAGAATATAAAGTAGGAAAAAATGAAATTAATATGGAAAACTAATTGATCTTCTACTTACCAAGATGGAGGAACAGGGGTTTGGTTTGGGTTTTACACCTTCCCACACGAAATAAACTAGACAAGAAATATACAACAGTGGTTTGCAAGAGACTGGACACAGGCAACAAAAGATTTTCCTGAGACACAGCAAACAAGGTGATCCTCATGACCCAGAGAACTTAGGATTCTGTCTCCAGGAGACCAGTGAACTCCCTGAGTTTAGGAGACAGCTGAGAATCTAGTAAGACAAAAGTGGCTAGAATCCTCAGGACAAAGTACCAGAGAGAAATCCAGGCATAGTAGCTCATGCCTGTTATCTCAGCACTTGGGAAGCTGAGACAACAGGACTTGCTGTTTGTTCCTGGCCAGCTGGGCTACACAGTGGGGACTAAGACAGCTTTAGCAAATGTATGTGAGGAAACTAACCCAAGCTGAAGAAAAGGCCTTCCAAGAAGAGTGGGGAATAATTAATCCTAGATTATACATTGCTCAGATCCTACCTAATGAACCTACAAAGCAAACCCAAGACATTAAAAGGGTTTCAAAGTCATTTACCATCGTCCTAATTATAATATGGCCATAGCTCAAAAATATTTCCTATACAGAAAACTCTGGGGCTGGAGAGATAGATAAGTCACTAAAATATTTGCCTTGCAAGCACGGGGAGCTGGGTTCAACTCCCAGATCTCATGTAAAAAGCTGGTATAGTACCATGTACCTATAATTCCAGTAGTAAAAACAGTGTGCTGGGTACCTTAGGTTGTCAACTTGACATGCCTGGAAAGAGGGAACCTCAATTGGGGGATTTCCTCTTTCAGACTGGCCTGTGGGTATGTCTTGAGGCATTTTCTTCATTGCTGGTTGATACGGGAGGGTCCAGCCTACTTGTAGGTGGTACCACCCTTGAGTAGGTCTTGAATTGTATAAGAAAGCAGGCTAGCACAGGCCAGAAGAGCAAGATAGTAAGTAGCATTCTTCTATGGTCTGTGTTCTGTTCCTGCCTCCAGGTTCCCACCCAGGCTTCCCTCGAGGATGAACTGTGATCAGAAATGTAAGCCAAATAAACCCTTTCCAACCCAAATTATTTTTGGTCAGTGTTTTTATCACAGCAATAGACAACAAACTAAGACACAGAGAGAGGAAGATCCCTGGAGCTTGCTAGACAGCTAGTCTAGCCAAATTGATGAGCTTCATATTCAGTGAAGGACAGTGTGTAGAAAAATAAGTGGAGAGAGTAATACAGAAAGATACCCAGTGTCAACCTTTGACTGCCACACACTCATAAACGAGACATTCAGACACATAAATGAAATAAATGAATAAATAAGTAAATGAAGATGGACAGTTCCTGAGAAATGACAACCTGAGATTGACCTCTGGCCTCCATGTGCACATGTGCACATATACAGACACATACAATCTCACACTCATACATACAAAGAAAGTAACTCCAATCCTCAACAAGGTAGAATTCATACTAACCAGGCATGCAAAGAAGTGGAAAAATAGAATTAATAATAGCGAAAAACAAAGTTGATCCAAAACTGACACAGATGTTAGATTTAGCTAACAAGTACATTACATTACCAGTACTAAATTCTGTGTCTTCAAAATGTTAAGTGGAAAATGCAAAATAACTTTTTGCAGGTTTTTTTGTTCTTGTCATTATTTTGAGATAAAGTCTCACTATGTAGCCCTAGCTGGCTTCAAACTCCCTTAGTAGACCAGGCTGGTCTCAAACTCACAGAGATCTGCCTGCCTCTGCCTCTTGAGTATTGCAATTACAGATGTGAGCCATCATAACCAGCTGCAAAACAAATTTATAAAAGACCCAAATTGAAATTGGGCGTTGTGGCTCACACTTGTAATCCCAGCACTTGGGAAATGGAGACAGGAGGATCAGAAGTTCAAGGTCATTCTCCATTACATAGCAAATATGAGGCCAGCTTGGGTTATATGAGACCCCATTTGACGAAAAGACCTGTATTGGGGCTAGGAATATAGCTCAGTGCTAGAGGGCTGCTTAGTATGCCCAAAGCCCTGGATCAGTTCTCAGTAACACACACACACACACACACACACACACACACACACATTTAACTTGTAGAAATTAAAAACTAAGATGTCAGAGGTCAAAAATACACCAATGAGATTAATATCATATATATTTTTTTAAAATATTTTATTATTTTTATTTTATGAGTATGAGTGTATTGCCTGCATGTATGTGAGCACACCTGTGTCATACAATGCCTGTGGAGGTCAAGAGAGGGCATTGTATCTCCTGGAAGTGGAACTACAGTAGCCTCCATGTGGGTGCTGGGAATCAAACCTGGGTCCTCTGCAAGAGCAGCCAGTGCTCTTAACTGCTGAGCCATCTCTCCAGCAGCTTGTTTCCAAATTTTTAAAAATAGTAAAAATTTTTGGTTTTAGAATGTATTGATAGATTGCTTTGGCGTTGCAGTTGCCTCTAGTTCTTAACTTAGCAGTAATACCACTAATAGAGTCTCTATGCTCAAAATGCTTTAAAATTCTAATTTAAAAAAAACTGTATTCAAGGTTAAACTCTAATAATCTTACATGAGAACAAAATAATAAATTTCAAAGTAAACTCTTAAATAGAAAGTAAGTTTGTTCACATGAACCTTTCTTTTTTCCTTTTTGAAACAGGGTCTCACTGTGTAGATCAGGCTGGCCTCAAACTTAGAATCTTCCTGTCTTGTCTATTCCCTCACCAAGTATGAGGATTAAAGTGTATTAGCACACTTGGCTACACAACTGTTTTAATTAAAACTGACAGGGGGCTGGAGAGTTGACTCAGCAGTTAAGAGCACCTACTGCTCTTGCAGAGGACCCAGGTTCAAGTCCCAGCACCACATGGTAACTAATAACCATCCATAACTCCGTTTCCAGAGGAATCTGACTCCCAGTACAGGTGCATTTACATGCATGGAGGCAATGCACTCATCTACATAAAATAAAAATAATAATTTTTTAAAAACTGATAGACATTAGCTTGGTTCCATGGCATTTTTTTTCAAAAGTTTCTCATGCCTTTAGATTTAGAAAGAAAATCATCCTATTGGCTTGTGTCTGTCATTCTTCTTATGTGAATACCTATTAGCAAACCCTTCCAAGGTCTGTGCAGTGAGTTTTCCTGACAGCCCTTGATGTGTTAGAATTGCAGTACATACCCCTAAGACATTTGATTCACAAAAAAATATATAGATAAATTTAAATTTTATATTTAAGGGCTAGAGAGATGGCTCAGTGATTAAGAGCATTCGCTGTTCTTCCAGAGAATCCAGATTCAGTTCTCAGCACCCACATTGTAGCTAACAATCATCCGTAACTTCAGTTTCAAGGAATTTGAGACCCTCTTCCTGCCTCTACAGGCATTGCATGCATTTAGTACACTTGCAAGCAGGCAAAAAAAAAAAAAAAAAAAAAAAGGCCACTTATACACATAAAATTTTATTTAAGTATACTGTGCATGCAGAAAATCATGTGTGATGCGTATGCTTGTAATAAAGTATTAGTTAAGTTTAAGTGCATTATCCAGTATTCTAAAATAGCAAATTTCTGAACTGGCAGCTTTTTCTAACAGGAAGTAAAAGCATA